AGCTGAAGCTATTAAACAACAGAAAAGCGAGTATGTGATGATTGAAAATCCAGATGATTTGACATTTCGACCAATAGTAGGCGGACCTAACAGTGTAACCCAACGGCTTAGTCATTTTGTTGACTTAATTTTGAAGCCACTTTGTTCTTCAGTGAGGAGTTTTATAAAAGACGATTTTGATTTTCTTAAACATTTGCCAAAATCTGTTCCTCCCAATTCTAAACTTGTATCTTTTGACGTCGTCAGCTTATATACAAATATTCCACATGATTTAGGAATTGAAGCTATTACGTATTGGCTTAAGAAACATCCAGATAAGATTGATAATCGTTTTGCTCATGAATTTATTATCAAATCCTTAGAAGTTATTTTGAAAAGAAATGTCTTTTATTTTGATGGCAATCACTACCAACAAATAAAGGGAACGGCCATGGGTACAAAAATGGCACCTACCTATGCAACACTTGTGTTAGGTTATTTGGAAGAGAAACTCTACACCAATATAGAATGTAAATATGGTAAAGTGTTTTCAGAATATGTACAAAACAATTTTTTTAGATTTTTAGATGATTGTTTTATTGCATGGCCTTCTGATATGTGTATTGACAAATTAAGTGAGGAAATGAATTCTCTACATCCGGCTATACGCTACACAATGGAAATGGATGAACATGTTTTACCCTTTTTGGATGTTTTAGTTAAATTAGAAAATGATAATATTGCAACTGATTTGTATTCAAAGCCTACTGATGCTCATAATTACTTAGATTTTTATTCAAATCATACTAAACATATTAAAATTAATATACCTTTTAATCTCGCATCTAGAATTGTAACAATTGTAAGTGACCCCAATATGCTGGATGTGCGACTTAAAGAACTCATGTTTTTCCTGAAGTCGCAGCATTATCCGGACGAGATTATTCGTAGTGGTGTAAATAGAGCTATAGAGAAGGGACCTTTTACATCCCGTGTAGAAGCCAACGATGACCAAGGAATTATTCCTTTTGTATCTACATACAATCCACATAATTTTGCTATGTACCCTATTGTAAAAACCAAAATCGATGACTTGCAGAGAACTAGCGTGCGTATGAAAAATGTTTTAGCTAAACATAGAATTATCAATAGTAAAAGACAACCCAAAAATCTCAAAAGGCTATTGAGTTTTTCCAAGTTTGAAACGAATCAAGCTGAACTTATTGTGTCTAAATGTAATTCGCCCAGATGTGGAACATGTAAAATAATTATTGAAGGTTCTACTTTTGTTTTCAAAAATGGATTTAAATTCACTGTACGTTCTAGTATGAATTGTAAGTCGAAGAATGTTATATATGCTATAGTGTGTGTTAAATGTTTGGAATTTTATATTGGCCAAACTGGGCGTGAACTACGTCAAAGAATGACTCTTCACAAGCAACAAACAATCCATGATGACCTTAGATTTTTACAAGTGAACAAACATATTCATAACTGTGCTAACAATAACTTCAAAGTGTTCCCTATTTACCAAATGCATTCATCTGATGTGATAAAGAGGGAAGTTAAGGAGTCGGAGTTAATGAAACTGTTGAAACCCAGTCTGAATAGTTCACATTAAATTCAACGTGTCATGCTTTAAGCAATTGCTGTGCTTTAAATATTATTGTTCATATTTTATTGTTGCCGTAAATGAAACAATTTGTATCATCATAAAGTTATGCATTTGTCTAAGTAGTGTAACGTCACAATTTAGCTTGTATTGTTGTTGACGTCATGGAGTTATGTGTATGCCTTCTGTGACGTCATAATGACTTTGCATTATTGATGACGTCATACCTTCTTGTGTAAACAACTATGACCTCACAATACCAATTTTCAAAATAAACAGTCTCCTGATGAACGGGGAATCAACCCGAGAAAGGCCTAGAGACGCTATCTCTGTCTTTTGTTCTATTTTATATATATATATATATATTTACATTTGGATGGCATTGTCACTATATAGCCTCTTTGAAAGCTGTGTCGTTGATGGGACTTTAATTACCATGCATCACAAGACATAATTCTTAGCGTATTGATACAACACTTACCGCAACTACAATATCCAATATAAATAAACATGACGGCTGATGACATATCGCTGGGCATTGTGAGATTTGACAATGTCGTTAAAAATTTATGTGCAAAATTAAAAAAAAAAAAAAAAAAACACTTTTATTACAACGAAAACAAAAAAAGACCAAGGTCTGCAATATCGTACAAAATGCACATCAGTTGAAATCACCAATGCCGGCAATGGAAACAATTTTAACGCTCATGCAATTTATCAGAAATATCGTCTGTTACACTGCACTGATCAACAGAGGTTCGTTACAAATGTCTGAAATACACATATTCTATAGACCTACTGACACACATGTTACAGACCTACTGATATGAGTCACAGCACACATATTCACTGTATTTGTTCATGCGCGAAATTTGTTCCGGGGAAATAGCGAAACAATTTTAAATCTAGCTTTCAGCTCAGAGTTCTATTGATAAACTTAAATTTCCCTATAGACATATCATACGCAATTGTATTGAATTGTGGAATAAAATTGAAGTGTTTGTTAATATTTCAAAGTACTACTTAATTTGCCAATTAGCACGCGACAATACGCTGTTCAAACTATTGAACGAAATTGTGTGGACTGTCGATAAGGCGGTTTTTTTTATTTCTAAATATAAATTATAAGTTAAAAAAGAACATAAGAGGCAGCGAAAACGTAAATATAAGTATTGAACTGTTTTGGTATGGTATTTATGATCTATTTGAATGACACAGCTTTGCAAGCAAACAACATAATGCGCACTATACAAAAACAGTTCAATGCTTAAATATATGTCAACTGTGAATGGTATCTATAAAAGAAACTGATTTTGTTGCAATCAGAACACCAACTGGCAGAAATGACAACAAGTAACATTGCCTGAGATATGGTTATCAATTCGGGTATTAATCATGGCCGGAAAACGGATGAAATCTCGCTCCGAGTTTAGCGATGCTTTTAAAAACAAATTACTTAAAATCAAGTGTTCCTGTAATTTTACCACAGTAGGCAGTCTAAGTGAAAAATTATTAAAGATTTCAGTCACAAGATTAGGATTTTAAGATATCACTGGAAAACTGTCAACATTATACTGATTTGGGAAGCGGTAACGGTACAATTATAGTTTTCGTTGTGTCTTTATCTATCTATCGTATCTTTCAAGTTTTAGTATTTACACTTACGTGGCATCGATAAGAAGAAAATAACACCACAGACGAACGCGTTTTAACAGTTTGAAGAGAATATCAATGTATCTGATGCATCTTTAAAACGCTTTCTTTAGAAACCTCCTGGAGATATGGCGTGATCTTTTGCAACACTTTCCTTATTTTTGGATTTTATTACTCTATGGTTATTCCGACTGGTGTACAGAATGAAATAATGGACAGCCCTGTAAGTATTACATTCTATGTATGATATCTAGTATACAAAACATCACTCAGTGGCAGACAATTACGGACAGCCCTGTAAGTATTATATTCTATGTATGATTTCTAGTATACAACACCTCACTCAGTGGCAGACAATTACGGACAGCCCTGTAAGTATTATATTCTATGTATGATATCTAGTATACAACACCTCACTCAGTGGCAGACAATTACGGACAGCC